CCATGTAAAACACATTTTTAGGGAAACAAAGAAAAATGTGCCTTAGAAGTTCGAGGTAGGAACTTCTTCTAAATGCCAACTCAAGGCCTTCCTAGAGCAAGTGACTTCCCCATCCCCTGAGAATGATGTTCTGGTAGCAAGTGAAAAAAGAAGACAACTAACAGTGTCTGGCATGTTCATTAAAGTTTCCTGCTATCATTGTGAGTCTGTCATTTCCCCTGTATAATTGGGTCCATTTTTGTTTTTATACTTAAGGCTGTGTTTCAAAGGTACACAGATTCACCACTTTCACATCTTCTGTTGGAGTGCTGCTGTGATCATTAATTAATAACTTCCTTTATCCTATTACTGCTTTTTGTCTATTCTAATTTTTCATATTAATTTTGCTATGTCACTTTTCTTTGAATTAGTAGTAGTCTTTCTGGATTATTAAATTTTTGGTGTGTTTCTTACAAACATCAATTGGCTCAGTTTTCTTTTTCATCCAATTTCAGAGTCTTTATTTAGAAATAGATGAGTTTAATCTATTTACATTTATTGAATGACTATTTTTTAATTCATTCTACCACCTACTTTTTTGTTTTCAATTTACCATGCCTTTTTCCTCTTATCCTTTTGTTCTTTTTTCCTTTCTTCTATTGTATTAAGTCTTCTTTTCTTCTATAATTTTTGAGGTTAAATATTTAGTCTCCATTCTTTTTGTAGTTATGACATTTTTGACATGTATTCATAAATTTATATTTTAAATAAAGCAACAAGCTAATAAATATGTTTGTCTTACTTCTCAAAAAGGCAAGGACATCTAAGCCCCTTCCATCCCTCCCGTTCCATGTGTTATTAAGTATTAAAATTTCATCATGTTTAAACTTTCCCTCCAGAGTGAGTTATGATTAAAAGTTTAAGAGCCAATTTTATGTGAATCTACCAGCAGACTGTTTTGTGGATTCATGTCTTTTCTTGATAAAGTACATCCTTTAGTAGTTCTTTGAGCAAGAATTCAGCGTAGTCAAATCTCTTAGATTTTATTCATTTGAAATGTATTAATTTACTCTCCCTCTTGAATGATGGACTTGCTAGTTACAAAAGTTTAAGTTTTGAATTATCTTTCTTATCCCTTTGAAGATACCGTTGTGTTGCTTTCTGACATTTGTAATTGCTAATGAGGAGCCTGATTGTGACTTTCTTCAAAAATTTATTTCACTAGTTTTTTCTTCAATAAGTTTTAAGATTTTTTTTCCTTGGCTTTCCGTAACTTTATCTGTGTTATTCTGCTTGTTAGTTTGTTTCCCTTGGAATTTGGCACAGCTTTTGATATAAGGAGTCCTGTCCTGAGTTCTAGAATCTCAGCTATTTTCTACTTGACCCTCGCTCCTCCTATTTATTTCTCTTTTCCCCTTCTAGAATTCCCATAGATTAATACTGGGTCTTCTCTTTCTATCCTCCACATCTTTTATTTTTATTTCTGTACTTTATATCTCTTATCACAAATGTGTTCTGTTTTGGATGATTTCTTCAGCTATACCTTCCAGTTCATCAATTGTCGCTTCAGTTTCGTGTAAGCTATTGTTCAACCTGTGAAAAATTATTGTTTCAGTGGCCACAATTTCTCTTTCTAGAATTTCTATTTGTCTAATTTTTAAGTCCAATGTTCTTTTCCTTTTTATGCTCTATTATAATCTATTCCTTCCTTTGTTTAAAAGTTATTCTCTGATTGCTCTGCTATCCATTGTTCTTTCTATATTTTTCTCCCATTTATTGTGCAGTTAGTTAACATTGTTGTACCAATGTTTGATATTACTTCCTTATCTGCCTTGTAATTTTTGTCTGTGAGCTCATCTTCAATAGGAATACCTTTTGCAAAGGTCTCACAGGTACCCTGAGTTGCTAAGGGCTTCCTATGGGAATGTTTCCTTACTGCCTCTGAAACTGTTCCAGAATTGGAATCATTTTCTGTTAGAGATCTTGACCCGGTATAGGTAGTGTTAAGAATTCTAGCCACATATCAACAATCAGCAGAAGTTATAGCTTCCAGTTTCTAACAATTGATTTAATTTTCACCAACAGCCCCGGGCCAGAGACCTGCTTCCTGATTGTATCACAGGTCATATTCAGAGTTTTCCTAGTCTCAATTCATATACAAAATTACATTGTTTTGTGGCTCCAGGATTCATGGAATAGCCTAGTTTCAGGAGTTCCTAAAACTTTGACCCTAATCCGTAACATCACAACCCCAGCTCCTATAACGTATTTCCAGTTTAGTTACATTTATGTGCCGTACAATTTTGCCTCTCACTCAGTGAAGTAGATTTTCTACTTTTTTTCTGGTACCTGGCAGCTTTTTTACTTGCTTTCAGCCCCTAAACATGTTTTAAGAATAAATCTATGGGGCCGGGCACGGTGGCTCACGCCTGTAATCCCAGCACTTTAAGAGGCCAAGGTGGGCGGATCACAAGGTCAGGAGATGGAGGGAGACCATCCTGGCTAACACGGTGAAACCCCGTCTCTACTAAAAGAAATACAAAAAAATTAGCCGGGCTTGAGGGCGGGCGCCTGTAGTCCCAGATACTTGGGAAGCTGAGGCAGGAGAATGGTGGGAATCCAGGAGGCGGAGCTTGCCCTGAGCCGAGATCGCGCCACTGCACTCCAGCCTGGGCAACAGAGCAAGACTCTGTCTCAAAAAAAAAAAAAAAAAAAAAAAAAAGAATAAATCTATGGGGTCAGGAGTGAGGCTCCCTGCAGCAGTTTATTCTGTCATCTTGAGTTTAAATCCCAAGAACAATGTTTTTACTTAGAGCTCATGTTTATCTGGGTTGCTTTTCAGAGGACATAAGGGGAACTTAAGAATCTCCTCAAATTACTTTTTAGGGCTGCCGCTATTGATAGCTTAGGAGTGAGAACAGATCAGAGAAGGACACAATCAATATGTTATATTAGGCTATTTTTCCTGCTCTCTTTATTATTTTTTATAAAAACTGATTTTAGGGGCAAATATCCGCTGAAGATATTGTGAAGAAACCACTCAGAAAGTCTGTATTTTATGCTTCTTAAAATTTATCTTAAAGTTTACGTGCTTAATGACCTTGAATTTTATACTTTCATAACTCCAAGCTTTTAAAAGAAGAACATAGAAATAATTTGATGTTTACAAAGGAAATGACTGGGTGTATATTTTACTAATACAACACAAAGCTAAACTTCTGAACCGAAGAAGAGACAACATGGATCAGTTATAACAACAATAATTGTTTTGTTTTTTTTTTTTTAATGAAGTTTTGCTCAGTTTCCCAGGCTGGAGTGCAGTGGTGTGACCTTGGTTCACTGCAACCTCCACCACCCGGGTTCAAGCGATTCTCCTGCCTCAGCCTCCCGAGTTGCTGGGACCACAGGTGTGTGCCACCATGCCCAGCCAATTTTTTGTATTTTTAGTATAGACAGGGTTTCACCGTGTTAGCCAGGATGGTTTCGATTTCCTGACCTCGCGATCCGCCTACCTCGGCCTCTCAAAGTGCTGGGATTACAGGCATGAGCCTCCGTGCCCAGCCCACAATAATAACTTTTAAAAGATTACAAGAAAAGAAAGGGAAAAGGCTAGAACAACCTCTATGGTGTTGGATTTATGAAGGTATCAGTATGAACTCACACTTTTTAAATATAAATATAAATAGAGGGATGAATATCAATCTGAATATGTATGGATTAGTATACATGCATTTACTTCTAGCTGTGTTTGCTTAAATGGCCTGAAAGCATTGACACCTCTGTAGCAACGAACACATCTAGTGCCCAGATCTTGGTTTCAAAATACCACTCTTCAATAAAAGAACCAAGAATCCACGGAGAAGTGGCTGATTCCAGAGCTGGGGCAGGGAATATACAATAAAAAGTGCCTGGAGTGTCTTGAAATGCCAAAAAATAAGGAAATGCTCAAAAAAGGATGCGGCTTCTCAAAAGGACACTGGAACTCCTTCAGGGAGCAACCAATGACCAAAGAGGAAACAATTTGAGCAACAAAATTATAACTCGCAGAATAAAGTCAATATCCAGGAACCTATACTGATAAATACATAATTAAAGGAATAAATATTAGAGAAACAAGAGATAGCTCTTCCTTACAGAATTCTAATTAGTCAATTAGAAAGAATAAAGGAAATAGAAAAACTCTCTTTGTGTGTGTGTGTGTGTTTTTTTTTTCTTAATTGGTACATTCATTAAAAAACCTAGACTAAGCCGGGAGTGGTGGCTCACGCCTGTAATCCCAGCACTTTGGGAGGCCAAGGGGTGTGGATCACAAGGTCAGGAGATTGAGACCATCCTGGCCAACATGATGAAACCCTGTCTCTACTAAAAATACAAAAATTAGCCGGGCGTGGTAGTGCATGCCTGTATTCCCAGCTACTCAAGAGGCTGAGGTAGAAGAATTGCTTGAACCCAGGAGGCGGAGGTTCCAGTGAGCTGAAATCTGAGATCATGCCACTGCACTCCAGCCTGGGCAACAGAGTGAGACTGTTAAAAAAAAAAAAAAAGAAAGAAAGAAAGAAAGAAAGAAAGAAAGAAAGAAAGAAAGAAAGAAAAAAGAAAAACATAGACTAATAATCCTGTGTTTAAATAGTATTGTGGTTGTGTGCTGACTTCCATAAAACATGACTAATTGTAAGGGACTCCATAAATACACTTCGTACAGAAGTAAAAACGTAAACAGAAATGACTGACAAAACAGTGCCATTTCAGACATAGTTCCCTTAATTATTAATACATGCTAGAAAATGGAGTTTGACATTATTTACAATTATACCAACATTTACAGAGGCCAAATGTCACAAGCATAATGGCACACCCTGACCATAAGTTGTCTTTTCATACTTCTCAAATAGTTTTATATTTTAGCTATAAATAGTTTTATATTTTGGCTGAGAACAAGCTTAGCTGAGCCAAACTTGTTCTTAACAAGCAGAATTTTTATACCCAACCATTAAAGAGTCTCTTACAGTTTTCTGGGCCTATTTGCTTGCAGAGAGTTGTAGAAACTGTAACCAGGTTCTGCATATTATACATTCACATGTGATACTCAATCTTCATATGCTGTGCAATTTCTTTAAGATAAAAGGAATGATTTGCAGCAGGGCCACGTAGATGAGGAAGTTCCGTATGGAGGAGATCACATCCTCACACACCTTCCATTTCATCCCCTCTATATCCAGCTTCTGCACAAGGCCCTGGATCTGGAACATTGTGACTCTGACTCACCAGCCTTCAGCTGCCGCTGAAAATCACTCTTAGAACACCACAGTAATTGTTGCAGACATGATCTGCTGATGGATATCAATAAAATTGAGCCAAAGTTTCAGGGTAAATGGGATATTTGCATAGTCTCAAAGTATCTCCTCCCGCCCTCGATTATTGTTAATTACAGAGAGAAAGATACAAACTTTAGAATGGAGAAGCCCAGCAGACCTGACCTTAGCCACGCTGGCAAAGTTAATACCAGTAATGAGGCATATTGATGTCACGTACCTTTGGATATGATGGACTGAGCAGAGTGCATTGCTTCTATGATGTTCTTTTCAGAAATGCATACTCAAAATAATGAGGGGAAACCATAAGATGAACTCAAATTGAGGGGAAAACCTACAATTCTTCAAAATCGCCAAGGTTATAAGAAACAAGGAAAGACTGAAGAGCCATCTGAGGCTGGAGGAGACCAAGGAGGCAAGGCCAAGTGCAAGATGAAATCTTGGATTGGATCCTGGACCAGAAAAAAAAAGGCATTAGCTGGAAAACTGGGAGAATATGAAAAATAACTATTTCTTAGTATTAAGAATTATTGTATCAGTGCTAATTTCATAGTTTTGGTCCCTGAACTCTGGGTACAGAGACATTAACGTTAGGGGAGTCTGGGTGAAGGGTGTACAGGAATTCTAAGAAATATTTTTAAAACTTTTATGTAAGTCTAAAATTATTTCAAACTGAAAAGTTTTTTTTTTATGTTGGGAACATTCTAAATCTTGTCTTCTAGCTATTTTGAAATATAGAGTTGGCCCTTGAACAAGTGTTGAGCTGTGAAGGTCCACTTGTAAGTAGATCTTATTCCACCTCAGCCACCCCTGAGACAGCAAGACCCCCTCCTCCTTGTCCTCCTCCTCCTTATTGTACTCATTGTGAAGATGACAAAGGTCAAGACTTTTCTGATAGTCCATTTCCTCTTAATAAATAGTCAATATATTTTTTTCTTCCATATGATTTTCTTTGTTTTAGAAGCAGGGTCTTACTCTGTTGCCCAGGCTCGACTGCAGTGGTATGATCATAGCTCACTGCAGCTTCAAACTCCCGGCCTCAAGTGATCCTCTCACCTCAGCCTCTCAAGTAGTTAGAACTACAGGTGCATGCCACCACACTCAGCTAATTTATTTTAATTTTTGTAGAGTTTGGGTCTTGCTACATTGCCCAGGCTGGCCTTAAACTCTTGGTCTCAAGTGATCCTCCCACCCCAGCTTCCTAAGGTGTTGGGATTAAAGGCATGAGTCACTGTGCCCCACCCTTATCATTTTCTTAATAACATTTTCTTTTTTCTAGCTCACTTTATTGTAAGAATACAGTACATAATACATAGATGAAATGTGTGTTAATTGACTATTTACCTTATCAACAGAATTTCTTGTGAACAGTAGGCTATTGGTAGTTAAGTTTCAGGGAAGTCAAAAGTTATTCACAGATTTTCAACTGCACGAGGGGATTGGCCCTCCCACTACTCCCACGTTGTCCAAAGGTCAACTGCACCATAAATTCTTGTTAACTATAGTCACCCTACTGTGCTATCAAACCCTAGAATCTATTCCTTTTGTCTAACTGTATTTTGTACCCAATGTTCCCAGCACAAACGTGATAAATGTTTGAGGTGATGAATATTCCAATTACCCTGATTTGATCATTACACACTATATGCATGTATCAGAAAAAAACCTCATGTATCCCGTGAATACACGCAACAATTATGCATCAATTTCAAAATCATTTTTTTAAGGGAGGCAGAGTTTGTGGTTGTGAGGAAACTTCTGGTAGTGTGAAGCTAACCATGGGGGTTTAGGCTGCTGGTGGGAGGATACCCTGTGGCTGTGGGCTCCTCCTGCAGCTAGCTGCCCAGGCAGAGGGACGGCTCCTTCCTCCAGCTGGGGAACAATGGTGAGGAGTTATAAAGGGAAGAACACTCATTAATACAGGATGAGTGAAAGAGCTGTGGGATTGAAAAGACTCATTTGAGGTGTTAAAACTGAACGTGAAAATGGAGATGCGTGATGAAGCTTCCGCAAATCCCACAATCTCTAAAAGGCCAGGTGGGGAGTAGGAGAGCAAGGAACCAGGGGAGAAAGAAAAGTGGAGGAGCGCATTTAGGAACACTGAAGGCTAAGTGATTAGAAAGAGCTCTTCCAGCCTGGGGGAAGGAAAAGGGGCCAAAGGATACTTTGAGAAAATGTGATTCAACTCATCAGTCGTTACTCAATTATAGATGATCAGATAGAGATTGTAAGGTAACTGTTTCAATTTTAGTGTTCAAATATTTTAAATCTTGCTCCAAATTGAATATTACATTAAAAAACTTTTTTAGTTTTGTATATTTATAGACATTTTTTAAATGTCTATAGATAGTCGGTGCTCCTTCTAACCTCAGCAAAATAGGGACCCTCCCCGCATGATGGAGAGAGGGACCAAAAAGAACTCAAACGAAGACCCTCGATTCACAGAAATGGCGTGTCTTTTTTCTCTGGAATAAAATAAGTAATTTCATGGGCCCATGAAATGCAAGCAGGCTTCTGATGATTGTGGAATGGAATCTTATGCAAAAAAGAAAGAAAGGGAAAAAAAAGCCTTTCCCTGCAGCCAGCCAGTGTTTAGGCAGCACCTGCCGCACACCCAGGACGGGGACAGCTGCCTTGGAGAATACGCAGATGGTGAGTTTTGCTCACCAGAAATCATGAATAAGAATTTCTTGGAGAAAAGCTTTCAGTGCTACTGAAGGCCTGCACATCCCAGGGAGCTTCCGCCACAGAGCCAGCAGCAGAAGCCCTGACGGTCCCCTCCAGTAGGGGAGAGATAGGCGGTGAGATGGAAGGGAAGCAAGAAGGGAATGAGGAGAGCAGGGAGGCAGTGGGAAATCATGGGATGGAGAAGAGGGAGAGATGCAGGGCCTGCCCCAGCCCTGGTATGGAACTTCGGAGGAGACTAACATCCAGAGGAGGTTCTGAGATGCTTATTTGGTGGCACACTATGCAAACCCCTTGGATGAGGACCTCACTTTTAAAAAAGCCTACAGCACAGTTCTTCACTATTCCTCTGGGCTTATGTTCCTTTGAATTCCACTTCCTGCAGAGATTGGACCTGAGCGGCACTAGCAATTCAGTGGGGTTACAAATAACAGCCTTGAAGTTTCTTCCAAATGGAATATTCTATGATCTTTGATTATTTCTAGACAACAAAGCCAGGGCCACAGAAGCAGATAAAATAAAGAATCAAGACCTGTACTGAACACTTAGAACCCCTACGTTCTGCTCTAGAAAGAGAGGGGAAGTACTGAGTGCTCTGAATTTGTCCCATCTCCCATTGCCACACAGGACGCAATCATCCTCCCATCTCATGCTTTGCTGTTTTCATGACTAGACATCAGTTTTTTCTTTGACTTGACCATGAGCAGGGTATGATGGAAACATGAACTGAGGCTTTCAGGTGTTAATCAATTTCTTTTAGAGAGCCTGGATTCCTCCCTTCAGAGCCCCTCCTCTTTCCCTTCTCAGGTCTAGTGATGCTCAGTAGGGACTAGGGCTTGTCTTCCTATTCCCCTATCTACTGGGCACCAGCACTCTAACAAAAAAAAAATTTTAAGCACTTCTCAGACTGCTAAACATGAGAGAGACAAATCTTACCACATTTTGTATTTTTGGCCCTTTTCCCTCAACTTAGCACTGAGTTCACACCCCCCCTACTGCAGTTGAATGTTGAGTCATCCATTCCACTCATGCCCTTTTCCCAGACTTCATAAGACTCATGTTTCAGAGAAGCTTCCATGGAGCCAGAACAGGCCTAGGTGATTCTACAAATCTTCCCAGTGGTGCCTTCCCAGGAGTTACTGAGATGATGTGAGAGACATGCTGGAAACATTTAAGACCATAGAGCATTTAAGGCCTTCTACAATCTGTCCCAATATACCTTTCCAGTCTTTAATTTTCCCCACTGACAGAGCAGGAGCCTCACCATCTTGGGCAAGCACCACCATTTTAAAGTTGCTCTTGATCAAAAACCACCTAAATCCAAAAGGCATCAGCCTAATGGCTAAGGTCAGCATGACCATAAACCACAAATGACATCTCTGACCAGAAACATTCCAACCCTAAGATAAATCCCTCCCTGACCAGAGACATGCCAGCCCTGAGATAATCTCCCCTCCTGCCAGAGAGATGTCAGCCCCAAGATAACCTCTCCTCCAACCAGAGACATTCCAACCTCACAATAAACTTCTCCACACAGAAACATTCCAAGCCTGTGATAAGCTCTTTCACCCTAAATCCAGTGAATACTCCTAGTCTGTAAGAGAGAGTGCTCCTGACCAAAATCAGCCAGATGCCCCTCTCAGGTTTATTCTCCAAAATAAACCTGTGTTTGACTGTTGAGCTGCTTTTTGTGTTTCTTTTCTCTTTCTTTAACTCTTACACCCATTATTCATATATATAACTCTTACACCCATTATTCATATATAGAATATATACAAATCACATCTATCAATCAAAGCAAATACTACTTGCCAAGAATTGAGCTACATGCTAAGGTTACAGTGGAGCAAAAACAACAAAGTCCCTTTCTTCTTGAAGCTTATAGTCTATTGGATAAATACATATTAAATATTTAACTGTAAAAGCAATATATTTCAGATGTGAAAAGTGCTGTAAGAACTGTAATATAATTTAAAAATACATATATAGCCTTTCTCCTCAGTTGGCACACAGCTTCAAAAACCCTTGGACTTTTCTGAATGGTAGGAATGTCTTTGTGATGCTAATGAGGTGATGCCCAGTGGGCCTCTACATAGCCTCAGTATGGGGGCTGGCCACCAGAAAGACTAACCATGTGATTATAGGGTTGCACTTTCAGCTACCCAACTTCCAGGGAATGGAGGCCTCAAGATCGAGTTCAGCTATGTGGCCAATTGTTCAATCTATCATGCTTATATAATGAAACACCAATAAAAACTCTAGACACCAAAGCTCATTGGAACTTTCTGGTTGGTGAAGATGGTATTGAATAAATGGGCTTGCTGCCTGACACACATAGAAGCCAATACTATGGCACTAGCTTTTGAGAGAAGAAAAGCTTTATTGCAAGACCAGCCAGCAAGGAGACAGGAGATGCAGTTCATATCTATCTCACTGATTTGGGATCTGGGGCAAGTTTGAAGGGTTGAGAGGGCAAGAGAAAGGATTTAGGAATGTTGACTTGGCAGACCCTGATGGGAGAGCTTCAAACGAACCATTTACAGTAAGGATTTTAGCCCCAGATCTTCTGGGCCAACAGATCCCTTTTGAAAGAGTTCCAGCATTCAGGTTCCAGTCATTTCCCAGTCTTTTGATTCCCCAGAGAGGAATCCTTGTACCAGGTGTTGTTAAAGGTCAAACCTTTTTCTATTGCACATCCCTGGCCTACATGACTTGAAGTTTTCACTCCGTTATGCCTACAAGGTGACTTGACGTCCTGTTATCAACAGAATAGGCCTAGTTTGGGCTGGTCCTGTGGCCACAAACACAGTAATGTGCTGGGAGGAAGAAGTACCTGGATTCCATGAGGAGAGGGCTTGGGTGCTCTGTGTCCTCTCCACCCCATCCTATGTATCTTTATTTGGCTGTTCCTCATCAGTATCATTTGTAATAAAACTATAATTATAAGCACAGTGCTTTCCTGATTTCTGTGAGTCACTCTAGTGAATTTTTGAGACTGAGTTGGAGATTGTGGGAACCCCTGAATTTGTAGCCAAGTCAGATAGAAGTGCAATTGGCCTGGGATCTCCAAAGTGCACCTGTCATCTGAAAGGGGTACAGTCTTATTGGGGTTGAGCCCTTTAATTTGGGGGCTCTACACTACCTTTAGATAGTATCAGAATTGAACTGAATTGCGGACCACCCAGCTGGTGTCAGAGCATTGGTGCCAGAACGCAAGCGCATATAACAAGGGGGCTGTCCAGACGGAGGGATCAGGAAAGGCTTGAGGAGTGGCATTTAGGCTGAGACCC